GTCTAGGCGAGTGATCCTTATATGTATATTCTCATCCCTACCTAGCACGAGGCCTTTTGAGAGCTCACTGGCTTCGGGTTCCATAAGAACTCCAAAGTTAAGCGAGTAGCCGCAAAAGCAATCCCATGATGGATGACCCCTTAGGAAGTTATCGTGTGTGTTCCCAGAAACAAAACCGTGAGGGCGTAGTTGGGGCCCAAAGTGGATAATATTGTGCTACAGTGGTGGAATGGGCCCGGGATGTGGTAGACCATGAGCCGAGATGTGACAATTTGGTATCAAAGCCTAACTCTGGCCGCGGTGTGCCGACGAGGACGTCAGACCCCTAAGGAGGGTGGATTGTAAGATCCCACATTACCCAGGTGAGTGATCCTTTTATGTATATTCTCATCCCTACCTAGTATGAGGCTTTTTGGGAGCTCACTGGCTTCGAGTTCCATGGGAACTCCGAAGTCAAGCTAGTAACGTGCGAGAACACTCCCATGATGGGTGACCCACTGGGAAGTTCTCGCCCTTTCATTTAGTCTTGTTATTTGAGTCAAAATCTATTTTCTTTTAGTCTTTTGAGTCAAATTAAGTTTTATTTTCATCAAAATCACTTGTTAGGTCTAGAATTGAGTCTTTTTGAGTGTTTGTTGTTGTTTTAAGTGTTTTGAGTTAGTTTTAAGTCTATAGAGTCTAAATTAGTGTTTTTAAGTTTATTTGTGTTGATTAGCATCCCTAGTTAATCCCCAATCTAGAACGATCCCTACTTGCATATATACTACAATTGTCACAAATAGGGTTTAATTTGTGTGTCAAGTTAATTTTCACATCAATACATGAATCTTCCACCAGGATATGAAACACCGAATGAAGCAGGGAAAGTATGTAGACTCCAAAAGGCTCTCTACGGACTCAAAAAATCACCCAGAGCATGGTTTGGAAGGTTCACTGAAGCAATGAAAAAGTACGGCTATAGATAGGGAAATGCGGACCACACCCTGTTCCTAAAACGCATGAGAGATAAAGTTACTTTATTAATTATCTATGTAGATGATATGGTAGTTACTGGTGATGACACAAAAGAGATAAAAAGGTTACAGGGGTATCTTTCATCAGAATTTGAGATGAAGGATCTAAGAGGCTTGAAATACTTCTTTGGCATTGAAGTTGCTCGTTCTCGTGATGGTATTTACTTGTCTCAGTGAAAGTATGTTCTTGATCTTTTCTCTGAAACTGGAATGTTGGCTTGTAAACCAATTGAAACCCCCATTGTGCAGAATCATCACCTAGCGATATACCAGGATCAAGTTTCTACCAATATGTACGAGTCAAAGGCATCCCTTTGTCCCAGCATTGTTACAGGTTTCAATGAAATGGGCAATATGTTGTTTAGGATTGCCCTTTCCATTGAATTGCATGAATTTTAGCGGCTGATAACCCCTTGGCATCCTTAAGACGTCAATCTTCTTGGAGTATGGCTTTGAGTACAGTGCGCAGCTATGTGAGCTCCCTTCGTACTACGCTTTGATGGTGCTTGTGATCATCTCATGTAGCTGTTGAATAGAGAAAGATCCCATGAGCGTCACAACTCGGTCCACCTTTAGCTTCTCCTCAACTTTCTCCACCAAAGGCTCATTTTCTCGTGAGTTTCCTCTTTGGGTGGATCACCCTTTGGGTCAGCTTTCTCGTCGTGTTGTACCTGCAGATGATTGACGAGTGTAGCAATCCACAAGTCCTTTTCCTCCACGGTCATTATCAACTTTGCAATTGCTTCGTTCATTTGGGCCAACTACTCCTCGATGGACGTCGCACCAGTAGTCATAACTTGCATGGCTACAGGATACAAGCTGCTGCTTGAGTCAGCATTAGAAGTCAACGACTCGAAGTACCTCATCGGGCTTTCTTCCTTTGGCGCTCTTAACGAGGCTAGGGTGATCATGGGCTCATGCCTCAGGTGCTTTTGCTCCTTCGGTAGAGTTGATGTAAGGGTGGAAGGCACAACAAAGAGAGTTTTTGCCTTGCTTCGGGTTGTGACACCCAAAGTGCCACCGCTTGCAGCAAAGTTTTTCTTGTTCTTCGTGTTGGTTGCGAGAACAACTTGATCTTTTCTTGATGCCATGTGTGTTTCTTGTGGATTTGAAGACAGAGATGAGAGGCCGAGAGGTCCCACTGGGTGAGCCAAATTTGTAAACACAAAAATTATGTATCGAATGAAACCAGAACACGTGTACAAAGTAGATTTGTATTGATTTGAATTTGTAGGTTACAATCTCTGTTTACAATTTTCCTCTGATTCATTCTTCAAATTTGATGTAGATGTGTAGATTGTTGATCCAAGGGTCGCGATGACTTGATGTCGGATGAACGATTGCTTCAAATTTTGAGCTTGAAACAATGCGTGGATAGTCTTCACCTCTAGGTTTGTGTATGACCTGCGGCAAAGGTAGTGTTGATGCATAATTTTGTTGATTCAAGGGTCTTGGCAACTTGATCTTGAATCGAACTTCGTTACAAGTTTTAAGCTTGCAACAAAGTCTTGAAGGAATCGGCACAAGTGCTTGCTGATTCCTTGATAACTCATATATTTCATACATTTATACCATCCATTCCTAATCTCTTTGTGATATTTTTGAGTTAAATTGGTTGCGTTTTACTCTCTTTTGTGTTAGTGTGCAGTTAATTGTATTTTGGAGCCATTTGAGGGTAAATAGGGCAAAATGGTGTTGAAAGTGGAGAATTGAATAAGGATTCTGATGTAGAGAGAGATTCAAAGTGTACAATTGAACATGGTGATGAATATGGCCTTTTAAGAGACCAATAACAGCAAAAAACATCTGAAATAAATGCTCCACTACTGGATGTCTTGGCATTCTATAACAACTTCTTTAACCTTATAAAATTGAGGGTTTCAGCCACTTTTACATAAGCTCCCCCTTGGGGACACCCATAGCTCTCTCTCTTCTCTTTCTTTGGCTTTTCTTCCAGAAACAAAATCCTTTCTCCATTCACCATCCACAACCACCAAAGAAACCATGCAGCCGCGCTGTTCTTGGAGAAGTTCAACATCAGAATTACTTCAAGGGGGTTTCTTCTATGAACTTTAATTTCACTCACGTTGTTCTTGATATTCTATATTCTATAATCATGTTGTGTAATTAAGTTCATAGCTGGGGATTTTGATGTAGCCTTGCAAAACTAGTCTATGTTATTAAGTTAAAGTATTCAAACTACCAATTTGTGTTCTTGTTTCATTCACTGGTTTTATAGTTTAATTTGTTTGTTCATCTTAATGTTTGATCACCATTTGGGCTGCTTATGAATTATTTGATCAAGGTTATAGTACACACCATGCTTAATCTTGGTGGACATGTGAATGAATGAAGAAACTGCTATGCATACATCCTACCATGTGATTTATTTGGTTCTTTGAAGTTCTTGTTCTTAATGGATTCGTAATTGGTAATCTAAGTTGAACATCACAACTAGGTTGTAGATTAGGAGTACTTGATCACAGCCACACATCAAATGGATGATCATAAATAAAATAAAATGAACCCTATTTGAAGTTCTTGATCGGTATCCCTAGTTCTGTTCCCATTGTTTCTGAATCAATCTATCATTCATCTTTATCTTGTCTTGCATTTTAAGTTATACCTTCCAAAACAAATATCTAAATTTAGTTTTCATTTTCATTGTTAGTGAGGGTTCACATAAAGCTAGTAATTTGTAGAGTTCTAATCAGTCTCTTTGGTTCAACACCCTTACTTGTGCCATTATACTATCCTTATATTTGCACTTGAAAGGAACACAACATTCCTCAAGGGAATGCTTTGGCTTTGGTAGAAAGAAAACTTCAACTTTGGTTGTACATTCTTCGAAAAGAGCTTTGGCAATGTATTAGTCTTCGAAGATTTGGCAGAGGTTCTTCTGAATGTAGAGATTTCGACCCTTCAATGTAGAAATAGTCGACCCTTTGAATGTAGAAATTGTCTACCTTTATACTTGTTTGAGGACATTGTATTTACAAACTTCTCAAAGCTTGCCTCTGGATGGATTCGGCTTTGATTTGTGTCTTGATTTGTCCATGGGAGAATTTAGGCATGTTTTGTGTCTTAATTTTAGCCACTTTCCCTTGCTTGGCCGAAATCTATAGGGCTTTCTTGCCTATTTTGCGAGCAATCTTCAATTTTTGCTTGTTTTGTGAAGATGATTTAGCTTTCTTTCCGGTTTTGGAGCAATTTGGACCCCTTGCCAATTTTAAGAGGTATTTCCCCCTTTTGGCCGAATTTTGGGGAAGTTTTGAGCTTCCTTTGCTTGATTTGTGCCACATGTCATTGATGAATTGTCCATTTGTGATGAGTCATATGCCACGTGGAGCTTTGTGATGTATCATTTGCATGCAAGGATATTTACATGTCTACAACAATTTAATACATCATTTTCACATAAAATTCAATAGGAATGGATTAGTTATTGCAACTTTTCCTCCGACGTACGAACCACTAATTGATCTAAAAAATTAATGATCAGATCTTACATATAGAATTCTAATAGGTCTTTATAACAATTAGATATTGCATAAAATCTGTACCGCTAGTGGGACATAGCATTGTAGCCGGACCATGTCATCAACGTTTGAAGAAAACCAAAACCATCACGCACTCTTCTGTAGTAAAAGAAAGAGGGCTGATTGCAGAATGATTATTCTAGAATCCCCTAATAACAATTCTACTTTGAGAATGTTCGAGCAAAGCTTAACTTTGAAAATCACTCTCGAGAACTTGAATGTAGATTATAATGATGTCAAAACAAAATCCTTGTTCTGATTCTCACAAGTCACAAGCCGTATTTGTTAAGAAAAATCCCCACCAAATCTAACATGATTGAAAGAATCCCTGTGAAAATTTTCAGTGTCGTTTCAAATTCGGTCTAAAAAAATACTGTATCATTACTTAAATATTGATTAACGTGATTATTTCTCATTGGTGACATTAACATGGTTTGCAAATTTGGTCTAAGAAATTAATCTCCTAACATTGTCTGCACAAAAATTTTGGCATAGGACATCTGCAAGTCAAATCTGATCCTATACAAAACAATGTTTAATAAATTAAAAGCCTAAATACAAGTGGAACCCTACCTTAAGGCAATCTATGCTATATATCACTAAGGCAAGGTTCTTAGCAAACTATAATATATATTCCTTCTGAAGGACAAACGATTAACTTTCCTTCAAATAGTCCTCTTAATAGCTGTGCATTGCAGAAATAATTATGATATCAAAGAGATTTATGGGCTCCAACGATGTTCCCCTCAACTAAGCTCATTTTTCACTAGCACGTTTAATCTGCAGGGCAGCTTTAACAACATTCCCCCTCGTAATGATGCCAACCTTTTGATACGGAAGAAGAGAACAATCAGAAACAACTAGCAATGATTTGGCATCCAACACAGAAGATAGTTTATATTTTAGTTCGAATTTAAAAGAGAGAAAAGGATCATTACCAGCTTGCCTTCACTATCTACAACTGGCAGTCGGCGATATTTTGTTTCAAGCAACAACCTACCAAATTATAGAGATCGTTGAAAGTTGCCTTTAATAATTTGCACTTCATCTAACTACACATTGCCGAACGCTTTAGCAAATCTTAGCAAGAAAAGACAGAATCATAACTTTCACGAGTTGGACCACTTGTACGAGATATTTAGTTCTACTCCAACTAAATCTTAATAATAGTAACCCAAAAACTCTTAACAGCCCATCATCAATATTCTCAACCTTAAATAAACAAAGTCAGAAAATTAAACATTTATGCTTCAAGAAATTTCTCTGACCACAAATTAGATATTAGGAAAATTAGTTAAATCCCTTACCTAGCAGCATCTTCCAGGTTGGTGGTTTCACGGACAACAAGTGGAGCAGGTGTCATTAAGTCACCAACAAATTTTCCATTGGTCTTGCTAAGCAGTTTCTGTATCTCATTGAATGTCTGCCACACACATCCAAATTTAGAGAGAAATCCATGAAAATGTCTGCCACACACATCCAAATTTAGAGAGAAATCCATGAAGCAACTAACCACACATTTATTGATCTAAGCATTACTTAAAATAAAAGCCATAAACACAGTTTTAATTTTAGTCAACATACTGTATCCCACTTTTGGGCATTCTTGCTGAGTTAAAAGTTACACTACTGAGTCACGTTAAAGAATAGTGCGAGTGAAAAGAAGTAACAAAAACGTCACATAAATCCTAAAGCAATATCACTGTGGTACAGGCTAATACTAATCAACAACATACTAACAGGCTTTCAAATGATAAAATTTATTTATAACAACAAACAAGAATGTCAATAATACAAGAAAAACAGGCTACAAAACATAATGGATAAGTGGTCCATTGGGAAACGAAAGCCCACAAAACTAAACTATAGACCAAAAACTAACAGAACCATTAACCAACAAAATGAGACTGATCCAGAAAGCTTAACTAAAAGGAAAAATGTCTAGATAGTGAATCCAAAGGGAAAGAATTTATCTAGTTCTCTCCTACAATGAAACCGCATCTTTTTCTCAATCATCAAAACTCTTCTATTTCTTTCCCACCACAGCACAGTTCCAGAGAGTGGTAAACCTGTTTTTTACTATTAAAGCCATATCTCCAAAGAATTCTCAACTCCATCTGTCTTGGAAAGCCAGTGAGCTAGTGTGTGTATATAAACTGCATGGTGTACATGTGTATGACTGGCATATGTATTATCATCTCATAAAAATTATCAAGAGTTGCAAATCAACATTATAACCAATGTTAAGGGAGAAAAATAACATCCATCGTATATTTGTAACAACATGGGCAATGCAGTAGAGACTTGTAAGCGAAATTAAAAATAATGTAGTCCAAAACCAACTTCTTACATACTTTCCAAGAACTATCAACATCTGGAAACAAGTTTGTGTCGCTTTGACCACCACCTGATAACATAAAAATTAACCATACAAGTCTCGTATCGTTTCACCCCAAAAAATTACAAAAATAAAGACTAAGTCAGAACAAAGAAACCGCCCAAGGCAGGCCCCTGGTGAGGCACTTGCCTTAGGTCCCCAATTCATTATTTTAGGCTCTCGACCCAAGTCCAACCTATATTAAACTCAGCCCTAAAAACTTGCATTGATTAGTTATTTGCAGCTAAAAATGTGAGAAAATCAATCTTTTAAGTGATCCTTTCCAGCAATTGCTTCATCTTTTCTTCATATTATAGCTTTGAATTTGATTTTGTTTTTGTTTTCACCTGTTGGAAACAAGACCATATTTATCTTTTCAAGTTTCTGTGGAGTTCCTTACTCAATTTAAGAAACTTTTTGTAAGCAACTTTGTGCTGGTACTTATTTTCATTTTTTTTTTTTTTAGGGGATGGCTACTTACCAATTCAAATTTCTTTCATATGAATATAAATATTGTGGCCCCCTTTTAGGAGTTTACTGAATGCGAATAGGCAAAAACCTCAAGACACCCCAACTACAAAGTACATACCCATAACGCATAAACCCCACCACATTCAGATACCTTGCAACCAAAGGAACTTTTACATTGTTCATGAGATTTTGTTAACATCTGCATTATCATTAGTCATATATTCTTAGGATCAAACTTACATGTTCAGATAACTTGATGACTTGACCTCTATCATCCTAATATTTAAGATCTAAATGATAATATTCCCGCAGAAGTCACCAACATTAAGATTTCCTAACAGCAGACCAAACTCAATAGATATATTAATCTGTAATGTCAAACAATAAATGTTCTGTAGTATGATATGACAACCCAGAATTTCTTGCCCTCAAAACAATCCCAAACCAGGAAGTAAACGAAAATAAAAGTTGATATCTTTAGATGTCGAAACACGGGATACCTTTCATATTTCCGGATATGGAGTCCAACGCTAATAAATCGTAATCTGAGACAACACCAACCTGCATCAATAGTGAATAACCGCACAAATCAAGGTGTAAGCAAGCAACAAACACTCACAAACACAAAAAGTTTCAGAAATTAAGACAATACCAAGTTGTTAACCAGAACAAGTAAACGTCTTTCCATAAAACTTGGTAAACCAGTATTTTAATACAATTTTTGTACAAATGGAGACTCTAATCACATAATTTATATATCAAAAGGGAAACAAAAAAGATAAGATTTTTTATCATGAAATTGATTAACGTAGGGATTTTACTTACAAGTTTCCAGTCATCGTCAATCACAGGAAAACCGGTGATTCTCTTCTCAACAAGAGCTTCCAATGCTGCAAAAAGAGAAAAACCAATGAATCATCATCAGTCAGTAAGCAAAGGGCTTGAGCTTCGAAAGCTTGAGGGTTTGAGCTCACGGCAAGATTCTACCTTGGCCGACGGGGGTGGAGGGCTTGACGACGTGCAAATGCTCCCTGGTAGTCATGAAATTGCCGACGGTGTAGACCCCATTTCTGGGGACGGAATTGGCGGCGACGCCGGCGGCAGTGGAAGCGAGAACCAGGGGGCGCAAGTGGAGGCGACGGCGTCGTTTGGAGAGAGCGAGGAGAGGGAATCGAAGAATGGGAATGATTGAAGGAGAAGACAGAGAAGAGGGATGCGGGAAAGCGATTGCGGCAGGGATTGAGATTGAGCCCGTCATTTCCGAGCTGAAGCAGCAGCTTTTTATGAGATGGAGCTAAAATCTCAGGCTAGCAAAGAAAAGTAATATTATTATAAGGTCGTTTTAACGCACCCCACAATTTTCTGAAAACACTCCATCACCAAAAAAATTCCTCTAAAATTTCAACTTCGTCCCTCATTCTTCTAAAAACAAGCCCACATTCCCACCTCACCCCAAAAACAAAAGAATATATTGACATTGGCATGGCTGATAACTCCCGTTTCTAGTGCAACCTACCTACCCGTTCACCTTTATCACCCATCACTGAAGTCGTCGACCTACACTGACCACTACGTCTTGGCCTACACTGAACACTACGTCTCAACTCCTCTCTGTCTCTATATCTAACAGCTCGAGTTGCTAAGTCAAGAAGCTTGTATGAATTAAGAGAGGTTTGAATTGCAAGGCAGAAATTTGCTTTGAAATGGCATTGTGAGATATCAAAAGAAGATATGACTCTTAGAAAACAAAAACAAAAAACAGCCAGACTTTTAATCAGAAGTATGATGCGGGAGAGAGAGAATGGTGCCATGGTGAGTGGTTTGGTTTGTCCACCCCTGTTTGTAGTTTGCCTGAGGTGTTGCTAGGAATAGTTAGTGTAGGAACCAAATCCGTACCACTATATGTGGAAGAAGTGCACAAATTCGAGCAACTTGCAAAACAATAAACTAGCAAGCCTAGGACCAGGGGAGGGGGTGTGCTAGCCAAAGTCTCTTCAATGGTCGAGTTAGTGAACAAATTTAGACTCAAGCAGTAGGCAAGAGAATTAAAGAATGATGGTTGCATTACCAAAGATGAACCATAGATAGGTGTATTTAGACCGTTGGGAGAGAGACTTTTTTAGGATAGAATTCTTCTTCTAAGCCGAAAGAATCCCAGAGGATATCTAGAAGTAGATATTGCACCTCTTAGAACTTGTGATTACCTGTGCGCACGCCAATTCTTAGATTGTAAGAACTAGATTTATAACGATCTGATTAAGTTCATATCTGAATCAGATCGCCTATCTTGTGGAACATGGTTCTCTAGCGGAGTCACTCGGACTTCGCCTATTGCTCCAAAACAGGGTGATGGTGGCGCCACTGTTCCGTCTTATCCAACTCTACTCGGAGCAAGTGAGTATATGACCAGACTTCTAAGGTAACAGTATTCGAATCAGCCTTACTCTAGCCCTGAAAAATCATGGTCTCACAATTGCCCTAACTATGCATCGGAGTGGTAACTTGTTCCCCTTGAGAATGGATAGTTACTCATAGACCATGCCTTTCAGAGTAAGCTAGAATACGTACCCTTTTGTCTTCTATCTTCATGCATTGATTCGATCCTTTATGGAGTAGTAAAGTCATTTTAGATTCAGACATGCAATTTCAAATGTTGTGCCATAAATTCTATAATGATGAACCTTTGTGTTTGTTCAAAAAACAAGAAACTACCTCTTATATTCTTCACTAATTTTAACCATAGGTTCGTTGATCCCAAGATAAGTTAGTCTATTTCAGCTGGAATATACTGCTAAGTTTATTTTAATCCAATCGTTAAGCCTGTTAGAGTAAAACACATAGAACTTTTCAGCTTTTGCTTCCTAACTACATAATATAGTTTAATTCGTCAATCTTTTCAAAGTAAGTCAACTTCGAAGTAAAAAGTACTAAGGCAAAACACAAGGAAGCATGTAGGCCTAGGATAGAGCTCAAAAGCCCCAGTGACGTTGATTCAGAAAACGTCACCTCCCAAAGTTAGTATTTATAAAGATTCCCATCGCAATATCCAAAGTACCAGCTTATTTCGTTACTAGGTATTAAATATTAAACTCATGGAAAACCTTTTGCCTTAGACTTGCTATAATGCATTAATCGTATTAAGGATGAGAAAAAGTCAAATTATACATAAAATGGCCTCCAGATTTTAATGTCGGTCTGACATGTTTGAGCTATCTCGTTTTTTAATTCCTTTTGCTCTTTCACCTTACCCTAATTCTAGGTCAAAGGATTTCAATTATGCAACATGTAACCAAGAATGGGTCTCTTTCTCAATCCAAATTGTGTGCCCATCCATAGTGAATCTGAAACAAATGTTCGTTAGGGACTTGGTGACCTGCAAGTGGGTTGGAACTGCTTTTTGAATCCTTTTGTCAAATTATATGCATTGGACCTTAGCATTTCCGATTATACTTAACTTAGTATGTTGGTATGGGATAGAAGTATTCGATAGGGTCAGAGTTCAGAGCCATCTTCGGATGATTTTTGGATCGCTCTTCCGACTATTCCTTTGAATGGTGTAAAGCACAAGTTTGAATGTTATAACCGATAACCTTTTTGGTTGTATAATCTTTACGAATGGCGGATGGTGCACTGAACTTCAGGGTCAAAGCATTATGTGCTCGTGCCCGTAGCTCACCAATCGTAACAACTCTTATTACAGCTCAAGTATCTTAGGCTGCTAACTGAAGCCCCTTATAGTAGACTTTTTGACTACTTTGAATTTTTAGACTTGTAGTCATGCGAAGTTTCAAAGTTCTTCATTATCCTAGAATTTAGGGTATTCCATGTACTAGGATAAATCGTGTAAGAAACAACAAACGATGGTGAGGATTTGAAATCATCATTCCAGCTTTGGGTATTTTGTCCTGTGCATACATTTAATCATATATATAATAATTAAATAATTAAAAGTACTTATTTATCGGAGCACTACCATGGTTTGGACAAAGGTTGTTCACCCGTCGAATGGGCTTTCTTCATGTATGGGTATCCGGATTCATAACTACCATGTGGTGTAGGAGTCATTCAAATTTCTCCTTACTCTATATAGTATGCCATGTGGTGTATGTGCTTCTCCTTCCTGTTGAGCATAGAGCTCATAGCCGATGGCATAACTGCTTGCTGGCACTCTATCATCCATTCAATCATACATGCAACCCCACATAGTGCCTTGAAGAAGGCAAGCACCAGTTTATTGATTTGGATAAGAAACGGTTCTAAGCCGTCACACGAACGCTAAAACTCTAGATCTCCTTTGTTTGTGGTGGTTCCATATTGATGAGTGCTTGTACTTTTTCTGAAATTGGCCTCTATCCTTCTTTGGGTCACCTGAATCCCATAAACCTCCTGAAGTTGACCGCAAGGCACATTTAGCAGGGTTTATCTTCATTTTGTAGGCTTTAAGGATGTCAAATTCCTCTGTTAATTCTACCACGTGCTGGTTTTCCTTTCTGCTTTTCATGAGCATGTCATCTACATAAACCTCCACCGTTTTCTTAATGTGGTCAACGAATATTTGGTTGAGTAGCCGTTGGTATAAGCTCCCACATTTTTTAGCCCAAAAGGAATCACGTTCCAACACTATAGTCGTCAGCTGGTTATAAAAGTCGTATCGTCCTGGTCGGCAGGATGCATGTGGATCTGATTATACTTTAAGAAAACATCGAGGAAAGTTACAAGTTCGTGACCTGCCGTAGCATCAACAAATCGGTCGATATGAGGTGGCGAGAAACTATTCTTCAAGCACATCCTATTGAGATCTGCCAAGCGCTCGGAAGTGAGCTAAAGCCCTGTCTCTTGCTCTTTCTATCCTGTAAACCCCTCGCCTTTGATAGCTTGTGGCCTTTTCTTCTTCTTTCTTGACTATCACGATGCTTGGTGGAGTGTTGCTGCTTCATCATGGAGTGTCTAAATCAATATGCAACAACATAACCAAATTGTATGTGTTTCCCACAGACGGTGCAAAACTGTTAACGCTCAAAACTTGTAATTTAACAATTACATAATAAACCCTTGGTGGGCTTGGGATATGTACTGAAATGAAATGGGCTCAAAGATTTAAGTGATTCATCTCTCAAAACTGGGCTAAAACCACTATGTTGCTTGGATTATATTAATTTTAAGACTAAAAATAGCACTCGGCCAATACATGAACTCTCTCTCTTTTCATTCGTTCGACCCCAATACAGGGGATTCTTCCCTCTTTATATAGGCCCTCAATGAATCCCTTAGCCTTAGTTTTCTCAACATTGCATTTAATGCTACACCTATGTAGATTAGCATACTGACACATTTTCATCATCAACCATACATTCATTTGTGAAGTGACATGCGTTCACTTGAGATGGCACGGATTACCAAAATGATGCAGGTCGAGCGTCATGGTCAGATTTAGTTATCCAACCCTGTTTCTCCAAGCGCCATTCTGATCCCCTTTACATCCTTATCCTAAGTCTCTACAACTGACTATGAGTCGCCACATGGCCTGATTGACATTTTTTTACACTTGTCCTTTGAGACTTATGTCACAAAACTGTCAATCTGCCCACATGCCCTTGGCAGTCGGAAAGCTCTTCACATATTTTGGTCGAACTGAGCTCATAGGCGATTGACTTTAGTGCTCGAGGGTACCCTTTTCTAAGCCCATTGAGCCTTAGGCTTCTTAATCTCCCTTGGCTTTTTGTGGCCTTGTTTTTGGCCAACGCTATTATATAGCAAAAAAGTGCCCAGCATTAACAATACCAGGACCAATTCAACTTAAACCCTAAAATCCCAATTCTAAATTCCAAAACAAACAATTATACAAAAAAAAATGGCCGTTTAGATTCGATTGCATACCATTTCCTTGGTATGTAAAGCTTGGTGGCGATTCCCTTCTCATTTTGCATATTGGCGATCGAGATTACGACCTTAGAAACCAAAATCGGACAAACACAAAAACAATTCTAAGAATTTACACAAAGCCATAAGGATTTTGAAGATTCCTAAGCTGATATACCTAGGCCACGTCGAGTTGTACCTGGGTGAGAGAGCGCTACGATAATTTGGGATTTATTAGCCGATTCTTGATCTACCACCCCAATTTTTCCATGTATCACGGATGGGTGGATCTACAAAATAGTTCTTTAGCAAGGACTTTTATCCTCATTGAAAGTCGTCGTTTTATAGCTGAACGCTTTTAGCGAGGAAATGACTTGTAGTAGGCCCGTCGAGGAATGTGTATAGCAAGGAATT